CCCAGCTACTTGGGAGGCTGAGGCAAGAGAATCACTTAAGCCCAGGAGTTGGAGGTTGCTGTGAGCTGTGATGCCACAGTACTCTACCCAAGGGGACAGCTTGAGACTCTGTCTCAAAAAAAAAGCTGGGGTTTGTGGCAGGCGCCTGTAGACCTAGCTACTCAGGAGGCCAAGGAAAGAGGATCACTTGAGCTCAAGAGTTTGAGTTGCTGTGAGCTGTGATGCCAGGGCCCTGTACTGAGGGTGACAAAGTGAGATTCTGTCTCAAAAAGAAAAAAGAAAGATGTAGAGACCATTTAAGAGGGGTAGTTCATGTTAGAAGTGATAAAGATCTAAACTAAATTACTGGTAAGGACAATGAAGGGGATGGAGTCAAATGATCTTTTGGAGTTGAGTTCTCAGACCTTCTTCACTAATTGTATGTGAAGCTGTAGGGAGAAGGAAGAGTTTAGGATGACTCTTAGGTTACACGATTGCTTATCATTCACCAAGAAAGAGGATAGGAGAGGAAGAAAGCCAATTTGAAGGAAATGTGATCATTGACCTGTCTGTGTGCTAAAATTAGAATGGCAAAATTTTGTTTAGGGAAGAAATTATTGTCTTTGCTTCTCAGTTTATTCACAGAGCTCAGAAAAATACTCTCTTAGGAGAGTCATACTTTGGAACCATTGTGAACTCAGCTGCCCTCTGTAGTTCACTGTACATACTTACGTCTAAATTTAAGAATGTTATGTCTACTGACTTTCATATGCAGCTTAAAGAACATACTTTCTGTTTACTCTATAATTCCCTACAGCCTTGTTCAGTATTAATTCTCCAAACCCTGGCACTGTGTGTTGTTGAAAGTATTCTGTATTCAGTATTCTGGTACATCTAATAACCTGTGTGATCATAGCAGAGACAGATGGGCAGTTGTGTACTGTTGCCAGCAAATAAGATCTACCATCTGTTGGTATGGTCACACAGTCAAATTCTTACCTTATCTCATTATTGCATCTGGAAAATAATAAAGAGAAGGAATAAATATCCTATTGCATCCAGCTTACTGATTCATTTGAAATAAAGGTAAAGTAATGAGGATATTTTATGATATAGAGGGTATGTATGACAATCTTAAACACATAAATTTAGAGAGGGGTCAGAGAAAGGAAAACTACTAAATAGATACCTGACAACATGAGTTTGGAACATGTATGTAGGAAAGGGGACATTCATGCTCTTGAAAAAAGTTGTTCAGTAGGATCTGAGTAAAGAGAATTTCAGATAGTGAGCATTGTAAACATGTTCATATCCTTTTACCCTTTACTTCCCCATCTAGGTCTCTTGCATATGGAAACACCTCCAAATATAAGAAAATTAGTAGCCACCAAGTTATTTAGTGTGACATTTTTTATTTTGAAGAGTTAGAACTAGCCAAAACATCAATCAAGAAATACAAATAATTAGGTTGTCATTCAAAGAGATATTATACGTTAAAAATAATGACTATGAAAAATTTTAAAAAATGACTATGAAAGCAAGTTTCACAACTAGAGAAAGGATACTTGGAGTTAAAGATCTTGAAAGAAAAAAAATCCCAGGGCGGCGCCTGTGGCTCAGTGACTAGGGCACCGGGTTCGAACCTGGTCCCAGCAAAAAGTAACCGGGTGTTGTGGCAGATGCCTGTAGTCCCACCTACTCAGGAGGCTGAGGCAAGAGAATCGCCTAAGCCCAGGAGGTGGAGGTTGCTGTGAGCTGTGATGCCATGGCACTCTACCGAGGGCAACAAAGTGAGACTCTTGTCTCTAAAAAAAGGAAAAAAATCCCAGTTTATTGTTTATATGAATACAGAGTAAGGATAAGATAAGTGTAAAATTAATGGTATAAACCATGAATTTATGTAATAGTAACACCTTTATCTTTTATTTTTTGGAGACAGAGCCTCAAGCTATCCCCCTGGGTAGAGTGCTGTGGCATCACAGCTCACAGCAACTTCCAACTCCTGGGCTCAAGCGAGTCTCCTGCCTTAGCCTCCCAAGTAGCTGGCACCACAGGCGCCCGCCACAGCGCCCAGCTATTTTTTGGTTGCAGCTGTCATTATTGTTTTGGCGGGCCTGGGCTGGATTCGAACCCACCACCTTAGGTGTATGTGGCTGGCGCCTTAGCCACTTGAGCCACAGGCACCGAGCCCCTTTATCTTTTATTTTTAAAAGACTTTGCTTTTTAGCTAGGCGAAGTGGCTCGTGTAATTCTAACGCTCTGGGAGGCCGAGGTGGATGGATTGCTTGAGCTCAGGAGTTCAAGACCAGCTTGAGCAAGAGTGAGAGACCCCAGCTCTACTAAAAAATAGGAACAACAGCCAGGCATTATGATGGGCACCTGAAGTCCCAGCTACTGAGGAGGCTGAGGCAAGAGGAGCCCACTTGAGCCCAGGGGTTTGGGGTTGCTGTGAGCTATGATGCTGGGGCACTCTATCCCAGGGTGACAGAGTGAGACTTTGTCT